AAACTCGGTCTTAACATCTCTCTCGATAATCCTATCCCCCTCCAAAACCAACTCAATCTCACCTCTTTGAAGAAAGCAGATTAGAAATAGGGCGAGGAATCTGGTCTATGGGTCTTTCGACCCAATAAGCCAACTCCGGGAGCTAGTTCTTCACGAGCTCCTCCTACCTCTTCTCGTGCTCCTCCACCGGCACCGGCTGCAGATGATGATCCCGAGCTTCAAGGATTATTTCAAGATATTGACGATCCCGATAATGCACCGGATCCATAACCATAAGAGGTACTTAATTTGATTAAGTATAAAATTGATTTTAAGATTTTACAAAGAATTTTGTAAGTATATTCGATTCAATTAATCAAATATCAAATTATTACTCAAAGTCTTTCAAGATCAATTTCAAACCTTACTAAATGTGTAAAATTGTGTTTTATACTTAATATATTTTTGAAACAATTTTCACAAAGTATTTTGAACCAAAATCAAGCCTAAAATCAATTTTTCAAAGGGATGCACCGATGCACCAATCCATGCATCGATGCACCAATGAATAAATTGAACATCGAATGCATTTTATGCATCGATGCACTGAGGGTTTTATGAAAACATCGAATGCATTTGATGCATCGATGCACAAGTCATGCATCGATGCACTCAGGTTATTTTGATTCATCGAATGCACTTCATGCATCGATGCACTCAGGCTATTTTAAAACATCGAATGCACTTCATGCATCGATGCACTCTTAGTGCACCGATGCACTAAGGGTCCAACGATCAAAATATTTGAATTTTACACTTGATGCACCGATGCACCTTGTGTATGAATCGATGCACTGACGCTCCCAACTGATTTTATTAATTGTTTTCACACTTAAACGGCTCTATTGACTCCACTAATCATCCCTAACGTTCAGAATCATGTGAAGGAGTATTTAAACAAGTTTAGAAGCCATTGATCAACAAGAAGAAACAACAAGAATCAAGAATTAAGAGAGAATCAAAGAGAAAGCATCAAACCTCAAGTTTAAGCATTTCAAGCCTATTTTTTATTCAATATTCATTTTGCTTTCAAGAACACTACTTGTACTCAATTGTATTCATTTTTGAGTGTTCTTTTCTTTGTTCTAGAATTGTGCAAACAATCTACCTTGTGAGGATTTCCTTGTAAGTTTGCAAATTTGTAATCTTCTCTTTGAGAAAGAGTGTTCTCAAGAATTGGGGTATATTCTTGAGGGAGTTGTAAGGTTATCTCTTTGGCCTCAAAAGAAAGAACAAAGTAGTGAGTTTGTTGGAAAATCCTTAGTGTGGATAGCTAAGGTAGTGGACGTAAACTTTGGTTGAGAAAGTCGAACCACTCTAAATCGCTGTGCAAATCTTTTCAATTTTCTGCAAAAGCTTCCACCAAAATTTTAATTGTCAATTCACCCCCTCTTGACCGATTCCATCAATCGATTAACTCAATAGTGTTTAAACTTTGACTTTAAGTGAATTAATCAATCAAATTAATCGAAAATATTAAATATGTAATATATATTATTTATAAATTTTGGTTAATTCGGTAAATCGATCAATTAATCAAACTTAGTTCGGTTGTTTATAAATTTTTGAAATATTTTCGATTCGATAAACTGTTAAAAAAAAATTGATTTTGGGTAGTTTAGTTGATTAACCTATTCAACATCTTTATATCATACTACATTATATTTTCGTTTCAATTCTACTAACAAAATAACCTATTTGTAACATATTTTAATTGAATAAATTATGACTTAAAAAGATTATGCTTAAAACGTGACCAGGTATGGAGCCAGAATTAAATATTAGCAGTGGTAGAAATATTAGACTATTTAAGAAAAATATAAAGACTAATTAGGTATTTAAACTCGAAATTCAGCATGAACCAAGCGACATTAGTGATTAAGGGAATGTTGTTATCCTTGAGGTCCCGAGTTCAAGCACGTATGTAGGGATATGAGCGTTCATTGTCAAATACTTGAAAGTCTTTGTACAAATATTACCTTGTATTTACCCTAAATAAAAAAAACTCAAAAGACAACTTCTAATTTGTATAATATTTAAACTTACAATAACTTAAATTGTAATTAGACCAAAAATTTGATAACACAAACCTATCATTCTTTAGTTCGACCCCTTCTTGATTAAATATTTAATAAATTTTTATATTTTTTAAATTTAAATATTTATTTTTACCTGAATCAAAATACTATTAAATCAAAATTTTATTGAATATATAAATTTTACAGGAGTCGAGGCCCCTTGGACCCTAAGGGAGCTCCATCCCTGAATATGACTAGTAATTCAATGACCTGAGGTGTAATTTATCATAATAAATATCCATGTAAAAATAATAATTAATCAAATAAAATAATTTAGTTCACTTTATTTCATTTTTCATTGTTATATTTTATAATTATTATTATCTAATTTATTAATAATTTAATCTAGATTAAATACCACAATAATTTATTATATATATATATATTTTAAATTCAATTTATTATATTCATAATACTAGACTAATTACATTATTAGTAAGTTTAAATTAATAGTCTATTAAGTGTTACTATTAAAGTTATAACTCCTCCAATATACTTCCTTTAGAAAAAAAACCTAATTTTTTTATTAATATGTTACTCATCTTTTTTTATTGTCTTAATTAATTAATGACGACACTAATTTTAATATTAATTATTTAACGTTAGTATCCTTTATTTTATTTTAAAGTAATGTTTTAATATGCTACGAAACACATGGAAATAGACTTAGTAGAGTCATAAGAAAAGAATAAAGCTAGGCGTCAATGGGTAGGTTACTAGCCATTGATATTGTGCCACGTACTGGGTTAGGGCTGGCAGGCCTGAGTTGCAAAAGCATTATGTATATTATTTTCGGTAGCGGACCTAACCCAGCTTTTGAAAGCTCCGAGTCTGACCAAACCGTTGAGTGAGTCAGTCTCCAAGGGTTGACTCGAGTTAGATAAGTTTTATTGTTTGAAAAAAGTATTTGAATTTAAATTTGATTAAACTTAATTAATGTTATATTTGATCAGGGATGGAATTATGTAGTGCTTGGGAAGGGCTCTTGTCTACTCCCAAGCCGGACTTTTTTTTATTTTTAATTTATATATAAAATTTAAGTATTTATGGGATATTTATGAAATTGTCTCCTACTTTTAGAAAAGTTATATTTTGCTTCTCCCGAGTTGAAATCCTTACTCTGTCTTTATATTTTGTAGTAGTACACGTATTTCATGCAAGCTAGCTTACTTCCTGTTCGAGTTTTGTAAGGAAGTCAAACAGCTCATTCACAATTTTCTTTGGGGGTGTAAATGCAAATAATAAACCCTTTCCTCTTGTGAAATGAGGTTCCATTTGCCAACCGATAACGAATGACGGACTCGGTATTAGAAGGCCACGAAATCACAATATTTCTTTCTATATGAAGCTTTGTGATGCATTAATCAGCTCTCGCGATCTCTTCTAGGTTCGCTTGCCATACGAGAAATACAGAATGAACACCTCTGTACCAGATTCTCTGAATAAAGCAAATTGCTCTCATCTTTGGAGATCCCTTGGTAAAGTGTGGCCATCATTCAAATCGTAACTTGCCTGGTCAATTTGTGATGGGTCTCTCGTTAGCTTTTGGTACGGCAATTGGATCCCCAAACTCAGATCTTTCCATGCATGGAAAAATTTCTCATTCACCCAGGTTGACCCCTCTCGTGTTCAAGACTTCTCTTGTCTCGATGGTTCTTAGAATTGGAATGCTATCTACCAAGTGCTTCATCCCTCGGTCATATCGTATTTTCGTGGCATCAAACACCCCATCGCATCTGCCGGTAAAGACAAATGCTACTGGAACCATGAAGTTCACAAACGCTTCACTGTTAAAAATGCTTACCTTCAAGTGACAATGAACACTTTGCATCAGCGTAATCCCAAGTGGAAGACTATTTGGCATCCTTTTGTCCCCGAAAGAGTGTGTTGCTCTATAGTTAAAAAGCAGGGATATAATTCTCAAAACGTTAATCGCACGAATTACCCATGACCCAACCTGTTTAGCATGCGGTGCAAATGAGGAATTTTCTATTCATATTCTCCGGGATTGTCCGGCGGTAAAATACCTGTGGCTCAAAATTGTCAATAGTCTAAATATCCCATGATTTTTCAATTTGTAGGTGGAAGATTGGATCACCACAATTTTGAAGATTAAAGCTTGCCACCCGATTTTTTGGAATTCGTGGAATATCTTGTTTGCTTATATTCTTTGGCACGCATGGAAGATGGGAAACGACAGGCTCTTCAATAGTGTGAGATGCAACGCAACTTCCATCCTCAATCAGAGTCTTTATCAATCCAAACATGCCACACAACCTTCAAATGACTCACGTACAAGGAGTGCATTGAAAGTGCAACAGAATTACAATGGTCTCCAATTCCCAAGGATTGAATTTATGTCAGCGCGAAGGGTTCAACACAAGTCAGTGAAGTTTATCGAGACCATCTTGGCAACTTGCTCTCGGGGTTTAACAATAATCTTGGATCTACCTCTGTCATTGCAGCCGGACTTTGAGGAGTTCTTGAAGGTCTTAAGCTTGCATGGTCATATGGTTTTGACAAGATTCAACTTCAATTGGGTAGCTTGGATGCTTATCACCTTCTTAAAAATGCATCATCCTACAGCTCTTATTCCTTAATTCGTGAGATTACGATGTTACTCAACCAAGCTTGGTTTTTGGACTTTAAGCTCATCCGACGAGAAGCAAATATGATAGTGGATTCTTTAGCAAAGATCTATGGTAGTGATGCTCGCCAACTAGTCATTTTTTACTCCACACTGATTCTGCATATAGTCGGATTTGATATAATCTACGGAATATAGTCGGAGTTCGATTTAGACTCATGTATTACATATCTGAATATCAAAGAACTGAGCTAAAGGGAAAAGAAAATCAGGTTACAGTTATATTGATGCCACCGTTATAGAACACCAAGCCTGAGCTCAAGGTCCAAGTCTTCCATTGAACTTGCAGGCTTAAGTTCAAGAACCCTCCATAGAAGAGGAGAACATTGCATCACCTTTGGTCGTTTATTACAAGGCACGGTTGCTAGGTTTCCGAACAAGACGGAACTCAACCCGAAGGACAAGTCGGTCTCTACACGATCAATATCTTCATCGGATCCCGAGGTCGTATCACCGAGAGGCCTTTTCGACCCAAACGACGAAGAAACCCTAGAATAATGGCCAATGGATTGGTCATCAAGGGATTGTTTAAGCTTAGCTCTATCCCTTCTATGAACATTCATGTGACCACCAAGCGCTTGAGCCGATCCGAAAACTAGACCACAGAAACCGCAAGGATACCACCTGGGAGGCCATATGCATCACCTCGAACACCTCGTCGCGTCTTCTGCAAACACCTTCTCTCCCCATGATGAATCACTTGAACACTTCATTGATACTTCAAAATGGTGGTTTGATTGCTTTTCAAGAACAAGAAAGAGGGTTTATATAGGAGTAAATTAAGGGCATTTCAACCCTACATTGACATCCAGTGAAGCTCTTCAATTGTTCTTTTAGCAGATTTGACAAACAATCTCTGTTTTCAAGTATTATTTTGTCAAGTTATTCAAAGGGGATTGATCCACATGTGTGAAAGAAACTAAGGGGCCATTAGTTCATGATGGATATGATAATAACTGTTCGATTAAGTCCTGCTCGCTTGGTTTACACAATACGAAAATAACCATTTTCTTCTCTTTTTTAATAGGATGCACCAAGGGTTTTTATAAAATCATCTCTTTTATTCACTTCAATTGTTATCATTGTTATTAATTTTATTTGAATATTTAACCAACAATAAATAAACTATCAGATTGAATACGAAAATCAACATGAAATATTTTTTTTAAACAAATATTATAAACTAACTTAGCGATGAATCCAAAAATATTTTTTAGGTGAAGATATATATTATTAATAGAAAACTTTTATATGAACCAAATACATAAAGTTTCATGTGAATATTATCAATAAAATAAAAAACTACGTAAATAAATTCAGATTTTAAGATGAATACGTACTCATCCTAAAATATATATACATCGCCGCTAAACTAACCCACAGACAAGTTTGATCTCATACCATCTCATTAACTAATAGGTAAAGTATGCCTTAAGTTATTAAATTATATTCAAATGACCATTTTGTTTAAATTTTTAAAAGTTATAGAATAAGGTATAATGATAAAATTACATTCGAAGGTTTACATAAATGTCACTTTATTCCTATTCTTTTTTTTGTTAACATTTTAGTCTCCAAAGTATCAATTTTTAACATTTTTACATGTACTTGCTGAAGTAGCATGTGCCACATAACCTAAACGGATGATGTGTCATGTGTCATACCCTTAAACAATATTATGGCATGTGCCACATCACCCAAAGCGTTAACTAATTGACGATTTTCATTCAATAGGGCCTAATTTGATCAAAGATTAAAAAGTTGGGGGCTAACGTACTAAAAAAAGAGAGGAGAAAATAGTCATTTATGAAAACATTGGAGGATAACTTTATCATTATAGTATAAAATAATCATCAAATTTATTAAATTTTTATATCTATGATAATTTTACAACGATGATCTTATGATCGTTTAATGAATTTAATGATTATTTTACAATTTTTCTTAAAAATAAAATCTGAACGATGATTAATTGATTATAGTTTAATAACATCTTTTCATGCTATCCGTTAATGGGCTAAGCTGTTACACTAAACCTATTTATGGGTAAAATTAGATTTGTTTTGGCTTAATAGGGCAAACTGAACTATGTTTTGATATAATAATTTATGGCAAAATATTTTTGGACTTGAATTAAATTTATTCAAAGTTTTCAAAAATAATTTAAAGTCCATTTAATTTGGAATTGAGCGCAAAAGAATGTTTTATGAATAGTACCGTACTGTATGAATAGTATCGATACTGTATGAATAGTACTGATACTGTATGAATAGTAGTATTGATACTATGAACAGTACTGATGCTAAAAAATTCCATAATACAAAAATGGTACCGATACTGCTACAATAGTATCGATACCATGAACAGTAGTATCGATACCGTGAACAGTAGTATCGATACTATCAAGCCCAACGGTCAAAAATTCAAATATTATAAAGGTAGTACCGATACTTATTGAAGGAGTACCGATACTTCTTGTTCTGGGCAGTTTTATTTTGCAGAAAATAAATCTCCAACGGCTCCAAAACATCCCCAACGGCTAGAAATGACCACAAACTCATTTCAACCTATAAATCCAAGTTCAAGACACTTGAAGAACGTAGATAACACCTATCCAAGCATTCAAACACAAGAGAAGAGTTTTTCAATCTTATTTTTCTATTGTCTTGTAAATATTTGTTCTTGTGAGCTAAATTTTGTAAACAACTACCTTAGAGAGGTTTTCTTGTTTACATTTCTTTTCCTTTTGTAAAAGGGGATTGGTTTTATCTTAGCCAAGTGAAAAGATAGGGATTGGTTCTAGTTTAGCCATTGAAAAACTAGAGAGTTGTAAATGTTACTCTTGATCATGTCTAAAGAAAGAACAAATTAGTGAATTTGTTAGAAAATCATTGGTGAGGAGCTAAGGTAGTGGATGTAGACTTGGTTGAGAAGTCGAACTACTATAAATTGCTATGCATTTTGTCTATCTTTCTAATCTCCTTACTCCCTAAACAAAACAACCAATTCAACCCCTCTTTGCAAACTCTTTTGGTTGTCAATTCGAGCTTCCGCAAATCCCAACAAGTAGCATCAGAGCTTGACTCATTAGAAGGTTTAACAACCTTGAGACGATCCTTGAAGTAGCTCTACCGATTCCAAACACAACTGAGAAGATAGCTTCCACCTCCGGCTTGTTCTACATGGAAGACTCCCAACCGATTGACAAGCCTCCACATTTCTACGGAGCAAACTAACATCCTTGGCAGAAAGTAATGAAGTTATTTATCCAATTCAATGATCTTGATGCATGGGAGATGACTGAGAACAGATACTCTTCTCCTACGAAGAAAGAGAAGAAATTGAGTGACCAAGAACGGAAGAAAGCTCAACAAAATGCCAAGGCCATGCACATGGTGTTTTGTACATTTGGTCCCGATATCTGTGAAGGAGTTTCTTCTTGTTCGAATGCCAAGGAGCTTTGGAATAAGCTCAAGGAAATATATGGAGACAAGAAAGAAAAACCAACAAAGGTGGTGTTTCTAATGGCTCGTGAAGAGCCCGATGTATCTTCTAACTCAAATAAATTAAATTTTTATTCTTTTAATGAGTTACAAGATGCATACAATGAACTATTTTCGGAGTTTGAGACCATGAACTCCAAATATAAGAAAATGATTTCAAAATTTAAAATTGAAAATGATTTTCTTTTGAAAGCTAAAATAGATTTTGAAAATCAAAATGAAATGTTGAAAAATGATTTAGAGCTTTCAAAAATGAAAATTGAAAGTTTTGAAAAAGAATATTTTGATTTAAAAGTTAAGCTTGAAAGCTTAACAAAAGAAAAAGAAATCATTTTAAATAATTCATCTAGTTTAATAATGGAAAATGCTCACATTACCATTATCATGGTCATATGGAACATGCTTATCCTATAAAGAAAAGAAAATATTTTAAAATTAGACAAGTATGAGTTCCTAAGGGAACAAGGGGTATTGAAACTAACGTCCAAGGATTCAAAGCAATTTGGATACCAAAATCCAAATAAATGTCTCTTGTAGGTGTGTGGAGCAATGGTGATGAAAATGAAGAAATTGAGATGCTCCCGCCACACTTGAAAAAGGAATGAGTAACCTCTAAGCTTAATGCTTTTATTTTGGTTATTTGGTTGCTCATTTAGTTTATGCATGCATGAATTTTGATCTTAAATGGTTATGTTTTGTTTTTCATCTCATTTATGTTAAAAATATGTTATGATGAACAAAATTTTAATAATTTTTCATAATTTTTAGTTCATCATAATGAATTTTGGTCAAAATGGATTTTCAATGCAAATGATATATCTCTGACAATTGATATCAAATTTCAAATGTTTTGATTTTGATTTTTTTTTATTTTTGACCTAAATTTAAATGTTTATGCATGTGTTTTAAATGAAAAAGATATATATCTAACAATTGATATCAAATTCTTCAAATGCATAACATTTTTAAAAACTTTATGCAAATGCACTTAATTTCAATTTGGTATTGCATAAAGTATTTTAGATTTGGATATATTGAATTTTATGTGCTATTAATATGTTTGTTAATTTTTGATGAAATTCAATTTTGATTAAGTGTAAAGATGAAACTTAATCAAAACCTTAGAGATTCCTTTTGTAACATGTTTGTAAAAACTAGGGAATTCTTTGACACGTGGCGAGTGTTCGTGGAGAGATGAGTATCCGCAGACTTAGAATTTTCTTCCTCCTTTTTCCACTTTGATTTTTTTGTAAAAGGAAAGATGAGACTCGTCAAAAATCCGCTCTAACTCAATTAAGACTTTTATTTTGATTTTGACATTTGATTGATGAACTTAGTGCACTGAATTATTGATCGATGTTAGATTTTGACGTTAAAAGTCATCATATTTCACATCCATTTTTTATGATAAAGTATGAGTGGGTTGCAATAGTTATGGACAGTTTCATTTATTTTTGTTTTAATGAAGAGTTATATTTAATAATTTTGTGAGAAATAATGAATGAATTGTATAAAGCTAAAGAAAGAACTCAGAGTTTAGAATACTCTTTTTAATAATTAGAATTTATATATTGACTCATATTGTTTGTATTAAGTTTAAGAGTATAATATTTATTTGCAGGTTGATAAAATAAATAGATAGAATAAATGGAACAGCTCTTCCAAAAAGACATAAATGAATTTAAATTTTGATAGACGAAGGGTTTGGTTGTATTAAGTTTAAGAGTATAATATTTATTTGCAGGTTGATAAAATAAATAGATAGAACAAATGGAACAGCTCTTCCAAAAAGACATAAATGAATTTAAATTTTGATAGACGAAGGGTTTGGTTACATAATTGTGGCTTGTAGAGTAGTACTTCGTAGATATATCAATGCTCTGTAATTATCCCTACCCAAATATGGTTTGTTCTATTTAGGATCTAGGTGTTAAGATAATGTTTCAGGTCAAAAGTTTAGGAATGCGAATAAATGACATTTAAATAAATATTATTGTAAAGTTTGAATTATACACTATCTATATATCTAATAATAACTCTATATTATATTTAAATTTTAGGGTAAAGTATAGTAATGGTCACTGAACTTTTCTAAAACTTTCATTTAGGTTTCCCAACTTTTAAAACTTGCAATACAGTCCTCTAACATTTAGTCCGTTTGCAATATGGTCTCCGACGTTACACTGCCGTTAGTACGTTTGTAATATGGTCACTGACCTTTTCAAGCGCTTGCATTTAGGTCCCCCAACTTTTAAAACTTGCAACACAGTCTTCAATTTCATTATAAACCCCAAATTCCTTTTTAATCTCGAATTTCCTTTTTCGTTTCTCTCTTCTCATTTCCAATGTAACTTATCAGTCGAGGATGCATGGAAAATTCTAATCTAACTTTGAATTATGTGGAGATGTTGACTTGAATAAGGGTCTATTGAGAGAAGACCCGACCAAGGGACTATCGGGACTATTAACGATTCAAGGTGTACTGTTAGATACATGTCATCTTAGGTGAATCATAGATGTTCGATGAAATGCTTGTGAGAAATAAATGGGGTTAGAAATGTAGAGTTGACAAATACTACTAAGATGAACTAAGTATCATTGTTGAAAGTCACCAACAAAGTTGGAATTATTTTGTATAAATGATATATAATAATTTATTCGTTTAATCCTTGTGGTTAAAGATTTTCCAACATATGATCAAATATAATGAATAAATTATATTAGCTGTTTGAGATTTCATTATATTTGATCATTTGTTGGAAAATATTTATTTACAAAATAAACGAAAAAATACTAGTATAGAATAAAATTTACATTAGCACAAAAAGCGGCGATTATACTGAAAAATCACCTTTTCAAACATTATATACCTGTCAGACACCCTTCTATCTTTATTTATCGATCTAACACCCTTTGCAGAAAGACGCGCCCCCTGAAGCGCGCCATACGCTAATCTAGTGCCACGTGGGGTAAGGCGCGCCCCTGAAGCGCGCCTTATGCTGACATGGGTACACGCTGGCTAAGGCGCGGCCCCTGGGGCGCGCCTTATGCCACGTAAGGGTATAGCGCGGTGCAGGGGTTGTGCCTTCCTGCAATTATGACACAAGTCAGAAAGGCGCGCCCCCTGAAGCGCGCCTTTGCTTTAATTACACAACCACCCCGCCCGTTCACACCCCATTCCTTTCCTATAAATACCTCCATTCTCAATCACTTTCATCACACCAAATCCTCTCAACTTCTCTAAAATACTCTTATATTCTCTCATAGCTCTTTAAGGTATATTTTATTATATTTAGCATTTTGTTAGTATTTTATTTAACTATTTAATTTTTTAATATTTTATTTATTTAATTTTTTTGTAGTTATAAAATGGAAGGCGGTCTACTTCATTTGGATGGAAATCATATATCTCGACATTTTGCTGATAGGGTAACATTTTAACATTTTAATTTAATTTAAATTATTAGTAATAATTTATTTATTTAATGCATGATTATTGGTTTATAAATTAATTTTTGTAATTATTTATATTTTAGGAGAGCAACATTATATTAGATCCTTTTATTAGGAACCTTAAGTTAGCGATACCTACCCGTGTCTGGCCGTATTTAGTCGAGACTGGATTCGATTACATAGCTAGATATGAAGGTCATTGTAAGATAGAACCAAACTTGATTTCTGCATTACTGGAGCGGTGGAGGCTAGAGACCTACACATTCCATCTTCCGTGCGGAAAGTTCACGATTACGCTTGAGGATGTTTTTATGCACTTAGGGCTTTCGGTGGATGGAGATGTGATTTCAGGGATATCGCATTGTAGTTGGACTACTTTATGCCGTGATTATCTAGGAGGTGTCCCGCAAAATTTTAACGGTGGTCGGATACCGTTAAATTGGCTAGATGCAAATTTTTAAAATTTGAGCGAGGACGCCTCAGAGGATCAAGTTAAAATGTATCCACGGGCATGTATACTGCAACTGATAGGAGGGTTGCTGATGCCGGACAAATCGTGTAACCAAGTTCATTGTATGTGGTTGCGACATCTTAGCGACTTTCATCTGGTCGAATCACTGAGTTGGGGCTCGACAGTTTTGGCATTCCTGTATAGGGAGATGTGTCGAGTGACTGACTACAGGAAAAATGCTATCGACGGATGTCTCCTTCTGCTGCAGTCTTGGGCATGGTATCGATTTCCCTTTTTATGTCATGTTGTGAAGAACTCGTTCGTATTTCCGCTACTATTGAGGTAATTATAAATCTGATTTCGTATATTAATAGTTTTATCCAGTGTATAATAAAAAAAATCCTTGAATAGGTGGTCTACTGACAGGAAAAATCATCGGGAGCTACCTGATGAATTAGAAAAAATGAGGGTGTTAATCGATCAGAAAGATGGCATAGAGGTATGCATTTTAATGTTTAAAAATCGATTTTTTATTATAGTTATATAATTAGATTATTATTTTGATAAAAAAATATATATTTGTTTTAGTTTGAATGGGTTCCATATTCTAATGATGATGTGAGGATGTGTATCCCACCTGAGTTGAGGGACCCATCAGATGTTTGGATGGTGGTGGACCCTTTGATCTATTATGCGATTGTCGAGTGACACTCCATTGATCGCGTGCTCTGACAATTTGGTTTTGTACAACTAATTCCAGAAGCACCTCGCAATATGGACGAGTTGCATAACACAGATCGACGTGGCAAGTCGGATACAGATTGGCTGGTGAAGTATCATGAGTGGGTCGTGATGTGGGAGGATCGATATCGGCGTCTTCCCCATAGAGAGCCCATTTATGATGACCTCTTGACGGTTACATATGATTGTTATGAGTGGTTCAACAGTAACAGGAAACCATTTCTGCTTTCTGAGGATGCACGAGGGCGGATCTTTCATCGAAATCGATAGAGACGTGCACCGTCACAACCCCATCGTCCCCCGAATCATGGACAGAGAGCAGGTGCTTCCAGTTCATCATCAGATGCACCATCGGAAGCTTCACATCAACCACCGTCTGTAGCGACCTACACCCCATAGCTATATCCGATGTTGTCATCGTCTTTCCCTTACCAGATGCCGCCACCGCTGTCACAGAGTTTTATGACCCTGTCGCGGCCACCGTCACAGAGTTATATGACCCCTCCAAAAGGATATTATGGGTCTATGTTTGTAGATCTGACTTGGGGTTCATATGCTGGTTATTTGGCGGGTGCAACGTCATCACCAATGGCCTCCGTACAGACACCTTCTGTACAGTTTTCACACTCATCGATCTCTGTGTTTTCTGAGTTTTCTATGAGCGGTGGGATAGTCAGTCATACACCTCCAGGGTCCTTATTCTATGGAGGTGCTACATCGTCATCAATTACTCATCAACAAAATGTATATGCTCTTGACGACGACGACGACGATGATAGTGAGGAGTCAGAACCAGTTATACGAAGAAATCCTCCTCGAGACAGACAACCACCACCCTGCGGAACACATTCGCACCGCAGACATCGATAGATTTTGATATTTTATTATATTTGTATTTAGTTGTTTATTTGACTTTTTATTGTAATTTTTTATTATTTATCATTTAATACTTACTTTATTTTGTTAATTTAGTTAGACTTTTTTTAAATTTATTTTGTTAAATTTTTTGGACTTTTTGTTAATGTATTTTGTTAATATTGTTTATTACCATTTAATATCAGTTATTGTAAAATTTTTTATTATTTACCATTTAATACTTATTGTAAGTTTGTTGTATTTAAAATTATATTCAAATATGAAATTTCTATTAGTTTGATAATATTTAATAATTGTGTTTGATAACTTTCTTAAGTTTGTCACTTATTATCTCTTTTATTATAATCACATATAACGTCAACGTCCAATCTCATTTTCTTGTATCGTTTTTTTAATCGTCATCAGCAGTTATCGAATGACATTAACTTTAAGTAAATGCAAATTAAAGTACAAGAAGTATTATTTGATAAACAACAACTACATCAGTTCCTCATCAATGGTTTCTTGATGACAACAGAAGTGGACATGTTCTCCTAGTGTGTCCTGAGTTTCTACAATGCCCACATTTTTTGTCGTGTCTAGATATTTCTTGAATATCCATATCATAATGAATTCAAGTAGATTTTGGATGACCACGCTCCCTCAATAAAGTCGGGTCTGGTACAATCAGAACCCAATTTTGAACCTCATTAGGGTCTTTGTTATTACCTATAAGGGGAACTCAAATTCGTATACCTTAAACACTTCTGATAGTAGGTATACGGGATCCACAAAATGGCTATAGTCTTGACGGGTATACGAGCAAGATGCTATCACATGAGAGCATGGATACTTCAGAACTTGAAAAAACCCGCAGTCGCACCATCTGTCCCGTAGATTTACTCTTAATGACACAACTTCAATCCCTTGAAGAGGTCGCAACAACTCTATGACACGAAACAATTCATGCGTTCTAGAGAAGCTTGTTACAGACATTCCATTTGATGCATCAATTTTTTTGTAGATCTGCAACTAATCTAGGGTGATAGACATGACCACCTTGCATCCAGGTTTGAGCTTGTCCCCCGAGCTTCGCAAAAAGCGCCTCCCAAACGAAAATATGTAGTTTTTACCAAAGCCGCTACAGGTAAGTGATGTGCACCCTTTAAGGTCGAATTGATTGCCTCGACCAAGTTGGTCGTCATGTGTCCATATCGATATCCACCATCATATGCGTTTGTTCATATTTCTTTATCGATGAGGCTGATGTAATCGTGTCCTTTATCGTTCTTCACCCGTAAATCTTGAAGCATAGATTCAAATGTTTGAGAAAGTAGTTCGTAACCTGATAAAAAAATGTAGAACTTTCTAACTTTGTTTCCTTAAAAAATGAAAATGGTCAAAAAAAATGGTGGTTTTGCTTACCCATGCGCACAAGTAATTGACGCTCATCATTCTTCTTGAACCTTCTATAGTAGTTCGTAGCAATGTATCGGATACAATACCTATATTGGACAAAGGGTGTCTACCACAATGGACCGAAAGACTCCATTGCTGCTTTGATCCCAGCTCCGCGATCTGAAATGACACAGATTTTTCCCCTCGTGATAATATTTGAACATAAGTTTCATAGGAAAAAAGCCCAAGAATATGTATCTTCTCCTTCAACGAGAGCAAAGACAACTGGAAGAATGTTGCGGTTACCATCTTGGACAACTGCCAATAGTAAAACTTGATTGTATTTTCTATACAAGTCACATCGATATGGACTACAGGCTTGCAGTATTTGACATCATTAATGCACTGTGGGTAAGTCAAAAAAACTCGGTAGAAATGACATCGATCGCGAAGAACTCAATCATTATGGTATGCATGGGAGATTTCGAAGTCCACAATTATCCCAAGATTCAACATCCGCACCAGCCTAAACCAACTTGAAAGTTCGTTGTAAGATGCATCCCATTCGCCGTGAAGTTTTTTAATGGCATTTTGCTTTGCCTTCCATGCTTTTCTATATGAGACGGAATACCCATACTGCGATTGTATAGCTGAAATCAACATAACAATAACTATATGTGAGCTTGCTTTTACCATTGGCATGATGGCTTGGTAGATCACTTCAGAGTCCAAGTTGGGATGATCTTGGTTGATCCCTCCAGCGAAACATGTGTGAGGACCGTTGTATACCGTTAGTTCCCATTTATTGTTTTTCCTCTTCCTCTTCGATACACGAACCATCCAATTACATCCGTCTTCACGTCAGACACAGTGGCATACATATTTTTCTATCGTAGAGCGAGCGACTTTGGATTGAATAGAATTACGGATATTGTAATTTTTTATAGCCATCATCGCTTCTTCTTTGCTTGAAAACTCGATGCCTAATGATAACTCACCATTGTTTATTGATGAGTAAAATCCGTAGTCACTGAGATTAGGCATATCCGCAAATTCTAGCATGTATATTGCACCATAATCAGCTTCATACATATGTGTTGGAGGGTCAGTTTGTGCCATATTTGAGGGAAATTCATCTATATCATCATCATCGGAGTTGAATTACGATAATTCTGGGTGAATGAATAGTCCAGTCTCAGCAATATCCGCACCTGGCTCACGAAGCAGTTCTTCTGGTGGAGATGGTGGTTCCTCCATGCTCTCCACATTTAGGTCGAAGAACCTACTACTTGCACTCCTTCCCCTTGAACTAGAAGGCATATCGACATTGAGATCAAAAACGTTCGCAGTCAAATACCTTCCCCTGGAGCTTGAAGCCATCGTGTCAAATGGAAACTGCACAAATTATTGTGTCAAGGGCATCTCCATATTAAGGTCAAATAAATTTGCATATGAATGCCTTCCCCTTGAACTGGATACGATGTTGCCATACGGATTATTCGTGGACCCACCTCGGTACAGAACGTAAGCAGTTGCTGATGAATGTCTCCCCATTATGGCATTAAAAATCATTACACATTACTATAGTCGGGCTGTCAACTTGATCAACTTGTTCAGCCAGCCCATAGTGAGAGCTTAATGACAGACCCGAACAATACGCACTTGAACAAACTTTGCATACATTTCAATATTGGCGTCTGAATAATTACTTTGAGAATCAACCATCTTTTAAACATCATCATTGTTCGATAGTTCGAACGTTGTATAAGTTAATGGAAATAATGATGTTGGAAATTTTTACTACAACGACAACATTCTTCTAGTACTTTCAACATGAACTTTCCTTGAAATATTCGTTATCAGCTCCTCAAGAGTTATGTTTCTCTTGAATGATATTTTAACATAATGATTTGATATGAAAACAACACTGGTTTCATCTTCTCGAATTTCTCCATCATAATAAACAATAGCTGAAATTCATGTCATTATTAGAGTTTGAAAGTGCGACAATATTATATCTACAAAAAAAACCTGAAACAAACCTAATTAAATAAATAATATATGAACGAAAATATAACACAATAAAATTTTTACACATAAACGTAAATAATTTAAATAATATAATTTTATATTATTACTGTATCGGTAAAAATATTTCGACGTATGCTCTCGTTTTCCAATTTTACAACCACAAAAATTAATTGAAAACAATTAATACAATATTTTCTTCAAATAATCATATATAATTATAAAAAATTACCTTATAACGAAAGATCGAACGAACTTCTGAATAAAATATAAAAGGATTGTCGGGTTTTTTACTGGTTGAGAGGATTATTATAGTAGTTTCTCGATTGAGAGGGAGTTGTGAGAGAGTTTACGGGGGAGAGGGGTATTTATAGCGGAGAGACCATGCTTTAAAGTCGAGAAGGTAGGATGAAATTATGCAAGGCGCGGCCTGTGTACCGCGCCTTGCATTATTCATGTCATAATTGCAGAAAGGCGCGGACCCTACACCGCACTATACCCTTACGTGGCATAAGGCGCACCCTAGGGGCCGTGCCTTAGCCAGCATGTACCCATGCCTGAATAAGGTGTGCTTCAGGGGGCGCGCTTTACCCCACGTGGCGCCAAATCAGTGTAAGGCGCGCTTTAGGGGCGCCTTTATGCAAAGTGTGTTAGATCGGTAAATAAAGATGGAAGGGTGTCTGACAAATATATAATGTTTGAAAAGGGGATTTTTCGTTATAATCACCACAAAAGCAATAAGATACTAAAACACTCAAATCTTTCTTTAATATATGTGGTACTAAAACTTAGTAATAATAATAAATTATTTAACCATTAAAATTACTTGATTGATGCAGTTATATACAATCTTTAAGATTTAGACTATCATAATTTTTAATACATATCTAAAAAAAATAATTGTTTGAACACGAATTAACTTACCTCGGTGGTTAAAGAATTTGTTGTTGTTCCAAGCGATCACTAGTTTGAGTATCAGCGGCTGCAACAGGGTAATTGAGCGTTCATTATCAAATGGTTGAAAATATTTATAACATATACTACTTTATAATCACCTTAGCTTAATAAAAAAATAAATTTTTGATTATAAAAATGACTTTGATATAAAAAGACTTAAACTAAAAAATGTTACTCAAA